TCCAATTAGCAAATCTTAGCTCGTCGGCGGAGAGCAACAAATCAAGGTTGTTGGAGGGTATGGTTTCCAGAAACTCGTAACTGGATCCTTTCTTAACTATTATTTTTTTATGTATAATATAATATTGAAATAAAGATATGTATTAAGTTCCTTAATTTTTTTTTAAATTCATTTTTAATATATGCTTATTAGTATTTTTATAATATATATTTTTTTTTAATTATAATTTGTAAAAGAAGTTTACGAAAAAAATTTTAGAGCAATATTAAATTTGAATATCAAACCCCCCCCCCCTATCTATCCCATTAAAATTATCTAGTCTAAGCTAGAACCGAGAAGGGGAGTTGTCATAAGCTTCCAGAGCTGGCATGAAACTGCAGAATTCCCGTGACTGACATTACTATTAATACTTTAGTAGAAAATCTTTAACCTTCATCGCGTGTCATCAATATAAAAAAAATATTTTTATTTTCCAATTACTCACCTTGAGACTCCATTTACTTAGGTGAATAATGGGTTATTGGAGTATGTTTGATTAATAATATTTAGATAAATTCTTTCAAAATTTTACCCTTGAAAAAGGATGTCCCACTATTATTTACTAAGATATTTGACTATGGAATAAATTATCTCAAATAGAGTGTTAAAGAATTATATACTCTCCATGCTGCTGTTTGATATAGTCTATACCTTTTTTGGTTTACTGTAAATGCCTATAACTATTGGCCAAAATTTTCCTTAGAAGCACGATATTGTTATCGATGGTGATGAAGTAATACAAAAAAAAATGAAAGAAAACCAAATATAAATGTTAAAGGTATCGCTGTATGCGCTTGCAGCAAATGTGCCCAAAGACTCAATGAAATAAAACTACACCTTATACCTTAGGATAAGATGCGAACACAATCAACTTAAGACAATATTCACTACTATTTTTGAAATCTTGTATCTTTTTTTTTTGAATTTTCTAAAGTATCTTACATATGAATGGCTAGAATTCTGCTAAGAACACGGAGGTTTGGGGTAGGAAAAACTATTAAGTCAATTTTTCCCCAATGGAGATCTTTCTTATCTATTGCAGGCTTTTGGCTATAATTGCATTTATTTTATAAAATTATCAAATTTTTGCAGTGCTTTAATCGTTGAAACGCGTTACTGACTATTCAAAAATGTAACGGGTTAACGCGTTACTTAAAAAATTAAATATTATATACAAAAAAAAATATTTGTTAATTATTTTTTTTATTACAATATATAATATATATAAAACTATGTAAAAAGAATATAAAAATAAGACAATATCTTTTTGTAACAAGTTTTTATTTGTTTTTATCAACAATTGATTTTCAAAATTTTGATCAGACACACAAGAGCGCTCAGTGTTCAATACAGCTTTTGCCGTGCTAAACACACGTTCAATTGGTGCAGAGGATGAGTGAGTTGTAATATATTTATTTTATTTCGAGAAATTTATCGAAAATATCTAAAAAATTATCTTTATCTTGAAAAATGCTTAATAAGCGGTTTACTCTTATTATTTAAAGCCATTTTTTTAAATATTAATATTATAATAGTTATCGCGGGAGTGACATATCCCGCGGATGCTTCTTCTGAAATGGCCATAGCAATCGGTTTCAAAACCTATATAATCATATTTTATACATATCATTATACAATATTCATCCATGAACGACATGTCGTTATCTTAAAATATAATTCAGATTTATCACAAGGTTCGTCAAATTTTTGGCAATTCTCCTTAATGAGACTATCTATTAATTTCACGGAGTTAAAAGAGTTCCATCTTGTTATAATCGGTTTAATAAGATATCTTCCCATGTTTTCCTTAATGAATGGCTCCACAGTTTGAAGATTGCCCATGTTTATTCCATATAATAAGCTTACACTTTGAAAATTTAATTTTTGAAATGGTTTTAAAATGGATTTCGTTACCTCCTTTTCAATGTCCAACCCTTGCAATGAGATTTAAAATGTGTGCTTGAACAGAAATGATGTTTAGTTAAGTTTAAATTACTATCTCTAGTAGATTTTCCAGATCAAATAATGGCGGAGGAACTATTTTATAATCAGATTCCTCTCCTTTATCATATAATCTAATAAATTTTATATTTTAAATATTATAATTTTTTTTTACTTGAAAGCTTTTATACAATTTCTAGCAATGTATGTGTCAAAATATGCAAAGATTATTTTTGGTAGATAATCATGTGTGTGTTTTTGTAAACTAAACATGCTGAAACCCTCTCAATAGTGTCTTGTAATATATCGACATCCCTAAATAAGAATTTTTTTTAAAAGACTATCACTCTATGTATATTTATATACCGATAGTAAGCTTACCAAGAATCTATAGTTGTACAGACAATATTTGTGATACACAATAAATCTACTAATTTCTATGCCATGGTGTCATAATCATATACTTTGTTAATTTTTAATATGGTTGATAATATTAATAAATGCAGTGCTTTCTACATTTGAAAATGATTGTGATTCTGCTTACAAAATTAAAATCTAATTCATCAACAGCTGTTTGTGCTTATTTTTTTTTTATCTATGATGTAAATGGATTCTGAATCTCAACGAGTGTTAGTTGATTGGCTTTAATTTTATATAATTTTTATATATTAATATTCAAAGGTTCATTAATCTCTTTGATTTTTGAGGAATGTACAGTCTATAATTTTTTAATTAATGTACAGTCTATAATTTTTTAATTAAAATATAAAAATTTAATCGCATTTTTGAATCTCTCCTTAAGCGTATTGTCAAGGAAAACCTTAAAATTTCGAAATTATGATCTTCAAAAGATAATTTTTAAATTTCTTATCTCTTTCAATTATACAGAATTATCGTTTAAAACGAAATTAGGAAAAATATGTATAGGTTCATTTCTTTAAAAATATTGCTTCATAGTAATTCCATACATATTTATTTAAAAATACATATTTTATAAAGTTTTTAAAAATCGCTATTTTATTCTCTTAAATAAATTAACAATTTAATAAACCAATAGCAATACTAAAACAAGAAATAGAGGATACGGTTTAAACCCAATATAATATTTTGAACCAATACCAATATTTTGTTAATCTTAGGTTTCTAATGTGAGGTTCCAAGCCTTATTAACTATCTAAACTATGACACTTTCAGCGAATAATCTCTTATGGCTCAATCGGCATTATTTTCTTCTCTTTCCTAGATTCTTTGTGCTACTTTCAATATTTAAAAATAAAACTTCTTTAATTTATTTCCTCTCCTTAGAAATACTTTTACAGTTAAATATTTTTTTTAAAAAATGAGATATTTATATCATTTATTATGATAAAAGCTATTAGATACATATATTCATACAAAGAAATATCTTTACGTAAAACCTATTTTTTTAAAAGAAAAACTTTTAACTAATATTCATCTAGTTTATAAAATTACGGATAAATTTTGCATTTACAGTGAAACGATACACATGTTTAAATATACTATAAAAGGGGGTAAACAAAATAAGATTTTATTTTTAATAGAATAAAGATTGAAATTAAATATGGACAAGCAATTAATTAAGAAGATTTATAGTTGATTAATCATTATAAAAAAAATGTGTTAAAATTTAATTCAAAATAAAAAATTAAAATACTTACATATTAATTATTTTTAATTTTTCTTAAATAATAAAAAAAAATGTTTAATATAGAATCTTTATTATCCAATAGTAATACTAATTTTTCCAATTTAAATGAAAACTCCCAATCTTCGTCGAGAATTCAAAGACCAAAAAGAATACACAAATATTGGAATAAAGAAAAATTAGATATATTTACCAAAATGTTATCAATGCCGGAAGAACAACAAATGTTTGATAAATTTTAATTATAATTTTTATGTATTAATTATTTTATCGAAATTATTATAAAAGTTTATAGTGTTATCATATTTTTATCGAAATAAATGGATATACAAAATAGATTACATTTAAGAAATTCTAAAATATTTTCAAATATTAAAAAGACTTTTTACAAAAAATGATTTAGAATTTTAAATGAAATTTAATCAAATATCTTACTTGAGCATTCTCAAAGAAAATAAGAAAAAAATTCATTTTTCATCACAAATTATATATATGTAACACATTTCTTTTTATAATGATTAATCAACTATTAATCTTCTTAATTAATTGCTTGTCCATATTTAATTTCAATCTTTATTCTATTAAAAATAAAATCTTATTTTGTTTACCCCCTTTTATAGTATATTTAAACATGTGTATCGTTTCACTGTATTTGATGACGGGTGAATCAGAAATTTCCCTTTATTTCATGAATTATGAATAAGAAACATACTTAAATTTTATGAGAAGTCATTCTGAAATTCCATTATTCTGAATGTTAGAAAAGTATAACAACCTTAATACTATATATTTATTTTACAATGATATTTAGGTTTAGATATATATATATAATTGCTGAAATAATTTTTTGAAATAAATATTTTCACAAAATAATTTTTAGTGATTTTTTTTGTTAATTGGTAGTGGTATTTAAAAATTACAAACCATTTTTATTATAATCCCATATGATAAATTTTGATAATATATATTAGAAAGAATATATCGTAGCAAGTAAAGAATGAGAGAAGGAGGGAAGGAATAAAACATATAAAAAAATTTAATCATATAATATAAGAAATGCTGGAAAAAGTCTTCCATCTTTTTAATTTTCCTCGTGAAATTACATCTTAGTTTTCTAAAAAAAACGAAATAAGCATGATATAAAATTCAATTAAGGGGATTATAAGGACTATAATAATATAATTCATATAATATAGCTTACATTAACATGTTCGGAGATAGATATTCACATCATAATCCGATCCAGCCATGCCTGTATATTCCAACATATAAGTTATAAATGAGTTGTTATAAGTTTTGGTTCCGATTAAATTTCCATCGTTACTAATTTCCTCGAGAATTATGTCCGATACTTTCTGTACAATTTGATGCTAAAATGATACAAAATAATGAATAATTTTTATTTTTCAAAACCCTATATTTTATCGTCTTAATTTATACTTTGTCTTCATCGTAAATTTTTTTTATTTTTAAAAATTTATATTTAATTGTCAATGAGTAATATTACTTTTAGGTCTCGAAATTTGTCCCAAAATAAAACCAAGCCCTCTTTCGGGCCCAACCTATATGCTAAATTCTTAGGCTTAAATAATAATTTATTTTTAGCTAAAATCTTGATTAAGCTTTGTAGATAAATTTTTAAATCTAATCTAATTTATATAAGACATTTGAAAAAAAATAATCGATAATTACAGTAGGTCCTCCCAAGTTCTTAATGACACATATAGCATTGGCAGTGTCATTCTTATCAAAGATAAATCTGCATACGTGATCCTCACGATGATAAGGGGAACTGAATTTTACTCTTAACTAAAATTATTTTTATAAGTGAAAAAAAAAAAAATATATATATATATGTATATCTAATACGAATTGTATTAAAACTTCTATTATTTGATTCTAGACATCGGCTTTTAAAATCTTCGCTTTTTACACACGTGAAATATATTATAGGCCTTTAAAAATATATAGATATTATTATATCAACAAAGATTATTTTGAACAAAAATGTTATAATGGAAGCTTTCTTTTTTATTGGCCATTTATCGATTATCGAATCTTCTTACAAATCCATAATACAAACTATTAAATTTTAAATTATTTATCGGAGACATGAAGGATAAATTATAATAAAAAAATTTTTTTCATAATCTTTGGAATTGGGATTTAGCCGACTAAAGGGTGGAATATCTTAAAATTTTTTTCCATTTATTTTTGAAGTCGTATTTTGCAGATTGTTTTAAATAGAAAATTGAAAATATGAGCAGTAAATCCATTGAATGATTTATATCAACTGATTAATTTATATAATTTAAATTGTATATTTTTTAAAAAAAATCGTACATGCTCTCACTTTCTCAAAATAAGGAAAAATGATATCTCATTATATATATATACCTAATTATAAAAAAAAATATTTTTAAAAAATTAAGATTTGCCAAGAAAATATGAAATAATATATTTTTTTTAAAATTAAAGTAAAAATTTTAATTATTTTGTGGGTATTTTATTTTTTGCCTCATTGAAAGAAAATCTCTGAAGATTATTATAATTCTAAGATATTTTTGGAAGTTATATTACATTTTTCTCATAGGTAGTATGGGGAAAAGCTTGTCTTTCTAGCCCGATACTTTCTTGTCCAGCTTCATAGGGTACTCCCGTTTCATTCACTTTCCTACGAAATATATCTCTGGAGTCGACCTTCCAAGTAACGAGGAACTCTGATCTCTTTAAGTCAATCATTTGAATGCTTTACGAGAAAAATAAAGTTTAAAGTTATATAAATTTCATCTGGCGATTGAGTATTAATGTATGTTTAAACGGCCAATTTTGAGCTCGAATTTTTAAAATATCCAGAAAAAAATTATATTAATCAAGAACCTTAAGATTTGGTTCATAAATGCCTGAAAGAACATCTATAAACCAAAAAGTAGGCAACATTTTTGACCTTTTCAAAAATCGGCTTTAGACTAATATTAATCAACAAATATAAAAACTTCATTAATATTATATTCTCGGCCAATAGCAACTTCTACCAATGGAGAGTTTGATCCCAGTATCTTTAGGCATTTTTAGTTTAGCTCAAAATAATTAACAAACACATAGACAGAATGGGCAAATAAACATTTTTTTTTAAATTTATCTACTGTTCCCTTTTAAGAAAAACTATGCTTTTCTTTAAAATTATTTTAGTTTGCTAATTATTTTTCTTGTAGCTTCATGTGAAGCTTTACAAGTCCTATACAACTTATATATATTTTTTTATATATATTAGATAACAAATAAAAAGAAATTTTTAATTTAATTATATAAGAAACAAATATTATTAATTAACTATTGCCAATATTTTTAAGATTTTAGCCAAAATAATATTACGTAAGCCGTTTAAGATTTGGGTAATAGATGTCATCTATTACCAATCTCCTGTCTTGCGTTTTTGGATAAAATATTGTTAAAAATTCAGCGATTTAACAACATTAGATAGTTTGGGGAAGTGGTTAAAAATTTTAAAATAATGGTCAGCCTTTGAAAATTTATGAAAAATCATTCCATCAAAATTATAAGTTTTAAAAGAAATTATTTTATTTTTGATACCCAAAACACTTATCCTTTAGCAATTTAGAAGAGCTATTTCGGGGCTGACATTTAGTATTTTAAACCAAATTTTGACCAAGCTCGGCCCAGGCCCGCACTAAATTTTTTATAGGCCCAGGTCTGGCCCGGTCCCCATGTCTAATGTTATAAAATTCAAACCCATAATAAGTTTCAAAAAAATTTCCCAAGCCCGACCCAAGCCCATATCGATAAATTTAATTTTTTTTTTATTTAATGAAAATAAACAATATTTAAATATATTTAGGCAATCATTTCGTTCTCAATACTGAAATTTATTATTATTAGGAGAAGAAAAAGGCAATATTTCATTAAATTAGCCAACTGTTTTAAATAATCTAAATTTAAATTTGATAATTTTAGGCCCAAGCCCATTAAAGAAAAATTTTTTAAACCCAGGCCTACTAGAAAGTATTATATTAGGCCCATACCCGGCCCATGGTTTGTTAGATAATTTAATTTATACCATTTTTGAATATATTTTCACAAATAATGAAAATAAATTTATATGGGAACAAAAATAATACAAAAATATTATGTTTTTATGATGATATACAATTCGAAAGGGATTTCAGGCCCATTAAAGATTTCCTGCATGTTATATGTGCCACTTTCTTTAACGATGCCGCATGTATCTTTGAGAGCTTTATTATAATTTTAGCATAACAAAATTTAAATTATATAATAAAGTTTAGTTAAAATCATGAATTTAAAGAATGTAGATCATAAAAAATATCATTTACTCCTTATCTAATTTCACATTTGACATAAAATAGCATTTATATTTGTATGTTCAAATGAGACTATTATAAATAACCTATATCGATGTCTTAGAGGTTAAAACGAGGAGCTACAAAAGGGGTAATACACACTATATATATGAATTTATTTCATTTTTAAATCATTATATTTGATCTTTTATAGAAATATATAGTATTTTGTAAACAATTGATCAAGACCAATTCTACAATAGCCAGAAAAAATATTTCCTAAGTCTCGAGATTTCGCTAATAGTTGCCCAAACCTTTGTTCCTCCTAAAAACCAAATCTTAATGCTTGCGTAATATTATTCTGGATGAAACACTGAGTTAGCCGTTTAACAACACTATTTATGACAATAGAAGGAGCAAGAATAATCAAGGAACTCTATTCAAACAGGTTTTGAGATATTAGAGGGGCGACTTATAAACTTTCTCAATAAAAGCTGTTGAGAATAATCAAAAAAAAAAGTTTAAAATTTTGATGTTGAGATTGAAAAAATACAGATATAACTTGAAATCGAAATTAGACCTCTCTCTAAAATCGTTTTTAGCATATACATTTTTTTCTCTGGAAGTTGATGTTTAGACCTATAGCTGTCATTATGCCTCCTCATAGTAATTGCACATATCTCATATATATATTTTTTAAACACGTTATTATAGTATAACTAGGTTTTATTGTATCTTATTTTATGACCAAAAAAAACCTAATAATAAATCATTAAACAAGCCACTTAAATTATGATGATCATTAATTATAGCAATTTATTTTCATATAAGTCATATAACTAATGTTATTGTATCTTTTAATTATAATTTATCATCTAATGTATATCCTTATCCTTAACTTTTAGGCTATATCTATTCATACAAAATGTTAAGAATAAATGAATATGAATATTATATGTAAAAAATATAAATATATATATAACGGATGTTATGGCAGAAAAAAAATAAAAGCAGGGTATGGGGATTAAAAATTTTTATTATGTAAGATGGGTGTTATAAACCATTGGTAGACCGTTTTCAAAACAAATATAGGTAACGGTATACTCTATTTAAGGGTATATTCTGTAGGGATGATATTAGTTGTAGACTAATCTAATTGAAAATTTACTGCACATTTGTTAATGTTCTTTAAAATTAAAGATTTTTCATCATTCTATAATCAATGTAAAACATAATTGGGGTAAATCCTTATTTCGTAATTATGTTAAATTTTGGTTAAAAAACCTGGACACGTATGCAATGATACGAGGCCTCTGTGTTTGGTGCCCTGAACTTTAATATCTCCAGAAATCCTGAGGATGAAAGAGTTTTCGATGGATCTTCGAACATCATTAGACGCTACTATAATGTGGTCTTCGCGTTGCGTTAAATTTGTCTAAACAAAGTATTATATAATAGATTTAAACTACTTCTATAAATATAAGTGAATAAAAAAAAAATGTTTCTGTTTATAAAGTTGCAATCAACCTACTCCTTTGCTTATTCACATTTTTCAAACTAAATTGAAATTCAAAGAAAAATAAATAATTAATTCAATTACTTTTGCATTGGATGGAGTGGGCACGGTGCATATTACATTGCTTTCAAAATTTTCGAATTTGTAGTAGCACATCAAAAATTGCTTTTTGATGGAGTCTTCCTGTATCGTCATCAACTAAATATACATATATTATTTATTTAAACTTTTAAAATAGTTTTTTATTTCAAAAATATCTCACAAAAAAAAATACTTATCATATACCCGTAACATAGTTATATTTTTACATAAATTTGTTTTGTAACTATGAGTTTAAATCATTTGTTTTATACAGATAAAAATTAAAACCAATAGAGATTTGGTACCACCTAAAAATTTTAATAGACTACCCCTAAGCCATAGCGTATTATAGATTATAATTTAAAAAAAAAAAAATTCAGCTATGATGTGAGGTCTGGTAGAATAAATTAAAAAAATTTTTTTTGATACGCCCTAAAAATCCAGTAAATATTTAATAATAATGCCGTTTCGAGTTTCTTTTATATAATGTAACTAATCTATATTTTTTTAAATAAATATTATATATATATATCACAAAAATGTATCGATAACTTTATGTAAAGAATAAGTTTGGGAAAAAAATTTTTTTTATATCGGTTTAGATTGGAATTTTCTAAAAAAAATTATAATTGGTATAGTATCCGTTACATTTGGAGTATCCTTAACAAGTTTATATAAATATTAGTGGAATAGACCCTTTAGGTTCAGAAAGATTTAACCAAAAAATAGATAAGGAAGCCGCTAGAAAAAATGTTTCACTCAAAATCACCAAATTTTAAGTTAGCCCCCCCCCCCCACCCTATATATAAAATAATCGGATTAATTTAATATATCTATTGTAAAAATCCTTAAATTATAAATTAATAATCAGAAAAATGAAGAGATAAAAAAAAATTATTTGCTATTATTATAAGATTTCGTAGCAAAGATCTATGCGGTTCGAATCCCAGGTCGGAATTTTTCTAAATTTTTTTATTTAACAATTCCTCATTTGTACACTTAGAATTTTTTTTTTGTTTAAAAACTTTGGCCTATATTTTTTTAAAACAAAATAAATATATTTTCCTAGTGGGAATGAAAGATTTAGATACTATAATATTAATAGGCGTCATATGATTTTTTGCAAAAGTTTTCCAATTGGTTGTTGAAGAATAATTTATATTTTATATAAAATTGATCAGGCCATGTATTTCTAAAACAAATATTTTCTAGGACCCCCCATTTATTTATAAGATCTTGAGTTTCGATGATAATGGGTGTCTTTGAATCATTACAATAAAATAATAGTTTTCCCGATTGTATCAGCACGTTTAGGGTTTAGAAAGTAGGAAAGAAAAGAAAGAAAGGAAAGAAAGAAAGAAAGAAAGAAAGAAAGAATTAATTCTCTGATTGAAGATAAAAAAAGATCTTTACGTTGCTATCGAAGTTGACGTTAAAATCGTTTCCTAGAACGCTATTAGCTAAATAGAATTGGTCTTTAGTTCCGCTGCTTACCGAGTTCCTAAAGCAATCCGTCTCTTCCTCGTGTCTCACGTAAATATTTTCTCCGCCAATGGTCCAAATTATCTCGTTATCTTCTCTCGCCAAACGAATTTGTGGACTGGTATAATTTCATTGGTTAAGAAAATTTAAATTTGTTAAGGATATATTATAATTTTACGATGAAAATAAATCATTCAAGGAGAAAAAACGGAGAGAAGAT